GGATTCCTACGATATCACGCTCTCAAATTCGCAGAGGCATTCGCCCGTACACCGCAAACAAAAATGTTATAGCAATCATGAAAATATCATGAACGAAGGATTATTCATTTGTCGGACATGTCTGGGGAACTGCCGTGAATTAATCGAAGCGGGACGATTCCGAACTTCTTCCTGGGCACATGCCACCTTTTTTCCTCCATAGCGACAATTTTCGAGAAATAATATCAAAATAATCGCGTTTTCGTTTGTGTATCGACTTTGGTTCAAGGTCAGAGGCTCCGGTGGAACGCAACCGAATGATAGTCGTTAGCTTTGTATAAAAAGGGCTAACCGCTGCTTACCGATTATACGTCGATTATCTTTCATCCGTGTTTGTCCCAAATCCCAAACGAATGAAATTATAAATATACTGTCCGTATCGCGAGCTGCACTTTTTCCAAACAGTGCTTCTATTATTGAAACCGGCAACGCACGTACTCGTATCATCTGTACCTTCTTAATCGTGGCCCCCCTGCGAAAGGGGCGTAAAGCATGCCGCTACGATTGTTAAATGTCATTCACGCCGTCCGGACGTGTTCACCATTTTTTCAAATTGCAAAGTTTTGCGGACAGTTATAGTTCTGCATCGAACAACCGTATAATGCGTGAGATATCTTCGTTGCCAATTTGAAAGGGATTAAATATTGCTCGCATAATGCACCTCCTCAGCAGATTGGATTAGGAGCGATTACTTGCCGTTCCATTATCGTGGGAACATTATTTTATGAAAAAATAATACAGCTTTGTACATCGACGATGGACCAATTTTTCGGTGGAAGATTCGACTTCTTCCACCTCGAGACGACTTTTGAAGATCCGAATAGGAAACGGATCAATGTGAAATCGGTACTTTAGCAGTTTTCTCGCGTTTACTGAACGGTTGAAACGATAATTGGCGTACGCGTCGAGCATCACTTTTCTTTTCTTGATGCCCCGAATCAATATAGCAAAAGGCATAACGATACAAATTCGAAGGTACCACTGCGTGGTCACTTCCTGTCCATTCTTGTTACCCTACTACGGAGGAAAACGATTTTGTCGATCACAGCAGCATGCTATTAGCAAATATACTAGGTTGGATGTCGAGGTTATGCCATAAAGTTGCACCTGCAGCCGGGGCTTTTAAATTTTGCGGGAATATCCATCTCGCCGACTGAAATAAATGTATATTGTAGTCGTAATTGACTCGATGGAAAGGCCAATAAATGACATTGTTTCTCTCTTCGGTATGTCAATAGTCTCCTGTTGTTCCGTAAGATATTCGTTGCACCGATACTTCTTCTAGCGATGTTTTCCACTCGAATTATTTTGCGGAGAATACAACAGTACCTTCTGGCTCTAAAGCAATCTGTTACGTCTGTATACGATATAACCATTTTTGTTCCGAATACTCCACAGTCTCTAGTCGATCAGTCGATAAATAAAGAACATCGTAAAAGAATGGCCAAACAAACTGTTACAAGTCTGAACGACAAAATGTTCGAGAACATGATAAGCAGGATCGAATTATAATTTTGTCGATTGACATACCAGAGAATTGAACACTATTCCGCAGATAAGAATTAACAGACGTGTCTTGGCGCATAATGAAAATCCTACAATTCATTTCAATAAAATTTGCATCCCGAACAGATGTAGCACTTCGATTGAATTGACCAATTTGCAGAGAATACAGCAAACAATCCTAACGGTTCCGAAAGAATTGAACACTTGATGGGACCATTTACTATCACGAATGCAACAAGATATCTCGAAAGATACCTTCGCGAGCATGGCTGATCAGAACTTAAAATAGCATAAACCCGGTGCATGGCATGAATTATTATCGGAGAGAGATTGCCAAATCGCGATTCTATTTGTCAATCTAATCTGGATCTTTTTTATATTCAGCGAATTTCGTACGACGAAACCTTTAAATGCGCCTATTTAACTTTACAGCTAAGGTGACTACTATTGTATATATCATTGAATCAAGCAAAATGACATAGGTTTCCTTTGTTGTATCTTGTGCCAGTGTTTTATGGCTTTAACTCTGAGCCTATCTTTGCGTCCGTTTGGAACTCAATTGTTGTTGAGAGAAAAAAGGATTGGATTGTCGCAAATAAATCTAAAAGGCGTTTCTGAAATAATGAACCCATTCTCTACTTCCAACGCATATGCACAATATTGACTGCATTGATTCATTAACAGGGAAAATTCAACGGCAAAGGGAAGTTGCTTGATTATATTCTCATCCAGGTTGCTTGATTATATTCTCATCTCAATTCCATTTGTGAGATCCCTTCGCTTTTTAGCTGAACGGTTTCTCGGTATCGCAAATAACCCTCCAAATTGATGGTAACGTAATAGAATCATCCTCTACTAGAACCGTGGTCAGCGTGTCCTACATTTGCAGAAAATAAAAACGTCGTATAGATGACGCTTAATCTAATTCGTCAGCAGTAGGGATACAAAGTAAACCGTAATGCGATCGAATTCGATTTTTTGAAACATTTCTCACGAAACGAACAGGAAAAATAAATTCGAGATATGGTCGAATCTGTAATTTGAAGCCTCTGCGACACCGTTAGATGCATCACTTCTCTTAAATAGATGCTTCGCGAATGAATCGACGTGTACCATCATTATGAATCTCTCGTTGATTTCAAGACCCGAATAGAAGTAATATTCTGGCTTATAATTCGTACCTACTGTAAGCAAAGCAAAGTCATGATAAGTCATTCCTAAATTTCTCCAGCCACCCATCTAAATAAACCTATCGTAGTCCTACATGGAGTATTCTTTTTTATTCAATGAATTGTTCAGTTGTTCGCAAATTCAAAGAGTTAAGTTGTTCCCGTACCAGTAACAAGAGAAAAATTAACTAAAATAGACCGGCAAATGTGTTTATGAAGAATGGTACCCTCCCCCCCCCCTCAATCCACGCTACGTCGATACAACATGCGTTGTACAGGGATTTGTTTGTTTCTTCATTAATCTTAAAAACCATGTAAACGGTGTAAGAGTATCGTCAAATTATCGTAAAGTTCCGACAACTTACAATACGATATAACCATTTCTATCCTAAGTGTAAGAAGACCGGCGCATTCATGTGAAGACTGCCATTGATAAAGATGAAAGAAATGTGATGAACAAATTTGGGATTAGAGTTATCGATCGTAAAAAGATAGTCGGATCTATAAAAACTACGTCCGGTTATCGAAGACGGATCGACAATGAATTTCAGAGATGTTCTCTTTATCTTCTTCTGAATGCAACTCGACGTCTACGATCATTCTTATAAATCAAGATGCATGACCGTCACTCCGAAATCGCCGCTTTCTGTTCGAAAGATGAAACAAAATTCGGGGAATTTACTGCAGTTTCGCGATAAGGACGAAACTTGATCTGTCGTGTACTTTGTCGATTAAGTGCCGTTTTAGGTGCCACACCCACCGGTCTAAAGTATATACCATTTACATGGTATACACTTTACCATGTCTTGTACCATTCACAATATTTGTACGCGTGAAGATTAGTTCTACTTCAACATCTGATACTGAGTTTGCTCGAGGAACGTTCATTATCAATCCTGAAATTTTCTCACAATTGATATGAAAGTATTGTGAACCATTCGCTAAGAGTAGTGAAGCGTGACGCCCTCGTAAATCATTCTCGTGAAAGAGAAATGTTCGACACTACCGATGATCTTGTTAATACATCTATTACTCGATATAGGCGAACCTAATTTAAAAAATATATGACAAAAATATATATCTCCAATATTTTTACTGCAGACACGACTTGTCTTCGTCTTCTAATTACGGGTCTTCTAATTATCTTAACTTCCACCTCACGCCGTTAAGTAAATTAATTATTTTCGAGTGAATCGTCAACAAATGACGATCAACGTGCACAGCCGTTATTTTTGTCGTTTCCATTTTGCAAATGCCAAGAATAAAGAGACAGTCCAAAAAGTCCCACTTTGCTGAAACCGACCCAGTCAATTCGTCGAACTACGTCCTTTTAATATTCATTTCAATAATTTTATGGTACATTGTAATCTCAATACCCCAGGGCCTTTGAAATGCGCTAGCCCGGAGAAGCACAAAAACGTTAGAATTTATCGTTTCGTCGTCGATCACCGATATTTTTAAGAATTATCAGACGATCTTCTTTATTTGCTCACATCTGTCGACTAAATGGACTCACATACCCTCTTGCGAAATGAAGGGACTCGAACACATTTGGATACATCAGTTTCAAAATTCCTTCGCGACATGTTAACACAATGAAAACCCAGAACATATTCTAGTCCGACATTCCATTAACATCCTAAATTAAAATCCAGTATGCCGACCCAACGGGATATCCGTGTATCAGCCCTTCACATCCTGCACTTCAAATTATTGCACAAATACTTGCGCATGCAGTATGTGTAGGCAGCATCTAGGAGAAAACATGGTCCGGAGAATTGCAATCCACAGCGAACAATGAAACTATTACACGCTATATAATAAATACTAAGTACCCAAACAATACGGATTTACTTGCTAATGTTGTCCTTAATCATACACGTTTTTACATCAATATTAGTTCGATACAAATGTTTAATATCAGGAATTTGATCGTTCAGAAGGTTACGAGCTTGATAAATGATGCTAGCGTAATGACCACAAACTGTGGATGCTTGGAAAAAACACGATGTTTTTTTGCAAGTTGGAATTTTATGAAACTCTATCAAATTCACACCGGTGATCATAATAATAAATGGCACCGAATGTGACAATTCTAATAATGGGGGATTGTTGATGTGAAGCGTTACAGGTTTTCTTTACAGTCTGTACGCGAATGTCGTTTTCTACCTTCTCATCGGAGCTTCCAAACATGATCAATGATTTTATTGCAAATATATTATGCATATATTTATATGTTATTTGTATATATATAATATTAACATTAATAATGGTATATACGTAATATTAATATTAATATTGTTATATATATAATAACATATAGTACATATATATATTAACTATACTATCACAAATATTAACAGATGGCATGTCTTTGTTATCCAATTGAATAAATTTTCCACAGTCGAATTCATGCGCAATTGCAAAACATGAATTAACGAGCGAACTTAACCAGAAGAGAAATATGGTAAAGAAACATCTATTTGCGTGAACTCTAAATTGTCCCCCTATTTATTTTTCCTTGAGCAAAAAAAATATAACTGTTGACATGTCCAAATTGTTCTTTGATGTCTATTCATGCGTTAAGAACCGAGAAACCGAGAACATGAAACCGAGCAAGTAGAAAATATGTAGCCTTAAGGGTACATAGTGGAACTCGTTAGCCAGCCACGGTCATAAGTCTTTATGATGTTTCGAAATGTGGATGTCCATTTTACTGGTGTACTCACAACATCGGTCTTTTAGCGAAACATTTAAATGTAAGCAAATTGGGAAAGAACAGCCTGGTAATAAACTATACGACGTGTTAATCACAGAGGCGCCCGGCTTAGCTGAACGAATACATACAGCTGCGATGTATGCGGCCTTACCGTGTACAGACGTAAGAGGGAGAACATAATCGAGATTGCAACGTATCGGGTTATCACGTTTTAACGTATCAATATTATTCTTGACGATCGAACTACGTGTGATATTTGTGGCTGATCTGGAAGAGTCATAAGGATCGGCCACTTGTGGGTCACATTTTACTACTATCGAATTCGAAATTTCTAACACGAAGTCCGATGAGACTTAGAACATGGAGCGACTTGATGTTGCCCGTTCGTATTTCCTCTAACACAGGAAACTGACATTAAACCAACACCTTAGGAGGGAAAGAAAGCTCGCGGCCCGAGGAAAGCGTACGTTAACCGAGTGGCAAATGCGTTTGGCATTCGGAAATTCGATGACCGATTGTTATGGGGTATTTCTTGATACAAACTGTTTTGTCGGGGAGTTATCGAGTGGCTCGCTTAATTCCATTTATAACACTGGTGTGATTCGGTGCGATGATACCGAAACGGTTCGAAAATATTTTTGCAAGAACGCAATAAGAAACGGTTAGAGGATCCGAAGTAAGTGGTAGAGTGCTAGCCGTAGGTAGCCTCGGATCGGGAAATTGTACTCTAGTAAGAGCATTTCTTAAGAACGAACTCCTCGGTTTTCTCGAAACGTTCCGATAAAGTCATCCTGTGAAGGAGATAGAGAGTTCACAGAGTGATATTTCTAGAGCTAGAGTCACGTTTCCGATGAGATCCGATACGGTGGTGGAGCTGGTAAAGCTGCCCGGGTTTGATGACGAACGGCTTGTTGTGTTTCTCGGATAATCAACGCGAAGATTGCCGACAGAAGGCCAAATGGAATCGTGCAACAGGATGGCTAATCGAAGTACGCGAGGCAGCATCCCCCATTTCCCTGCCGCGTTATGTCCGGTTGCATGACCTTTGGGCCCATGCTTAAAATCTTTCTGGATCGATTATCTCGAAAATTGCAAGGCGACTGCCGCCAAAATTAGGTACTGTTGGAATCAGCTTTTCCAGCGCTATCAGCGTACCAAGGCTCGTCAAAGAATAGTAAAGACCAATCCTCCCCCTTATTAGGAGGTAGACTCACAGAACGATGACTCGAATAAAACCACTTCCTACGTCCAGGATATACGACCAATCTTATACAACGTTCAGTATACTGCAACTGGTCCCCTAAAACGTTTCAGCGAAGATTGTTTTCATAATTGTTATCTTTTTCCCATTTATTACGTATTAACTCGTGTCCCGGACAAATGCGTTCTTCGGTGACGTGCTAACGGCATTCGTTCTTTGGCGATGTACTAACTATTGTTGCATAATTATTTTTTGCAGTGGACAATCGAGTGTCAGGCTCTTATGTACTCGATAATCCTCCCCGAGTCTTTTTACCGAGGAATTCGTGTAACCGTTCGTCAAAGTAATTGCAAACCAACGCTACGAACTTCGGAACATCTTTTCTCAAGTATTTCTTGTTTCGTTCACAAATATATGGACCTGCTCTTTGAGTCATGCTTCTTAAATGCCGTGAGGCATGTGCTGAGTAATACAAGGGCGTACAATTATAATATTACTGGAAAACTCAAAAGCATCGCGACGATAAGTTTGGTCGTACCACGCAGGCTAATAATCAATAATCAACCAGTTCCTCGAGAGAATATTACGCGAATGTTGCCCGCGACGTTGTCGTCTCTCGCGATGACTGTGCAATCATTGGGCAATTGAATGTAATAAGATTAAAACGAAATCAGATGGATAATAATATTGTAGTGTTAATAGCATCATACAGATGTGACGAAAATAGATTATCGCCAGTTTTGTGGTGTATGCGTCGAATCAAAAATGACTTAAATTGCTCCCAGCATTATTAATACGGATCCTACGGGAGAAAATTTAGATTTGATAAATACCAATATGCTCATGATTTCGACATATTCTGGACGTTCGTTTATGTTAAATCATACTGAAGCTCTCCAAGAAAGATCTAATGTCCAAATACTCAACATTGGTTCGTCTATCCGCACAAACTCCGTCATGCATATCTCTGCGCCTAAGCGTCTCTTGCCTATCCGCACACAAACCGTCCTACTAATCTGCACATAAATCCAAACTGTGCCAGGTAACCGTACAATTAAAATACGCGCAGCAGCAAATAAAGATGGAAGTAGAGACTGCATAATAAATGACAACTTCTGACCCCGCGTGATTTGTGATCATTATATTATCCGGTTTTTAAGAGTCGGAGATAATGAGGGTAAATGTTAGATGAGCAACGGATAGCAACACCTTAGAATACACCGCGAGTCTCATTAAGTAGGGTGATCCACGACTTTCCTAAACCGCTTGTTGACCAAAAACGCAGAATGTGTCCAAAAACCAGCAGACCTATAAGTCTCCACGTGCTCGAAAACCATGCACGCAGAAATAGATCGTAAATGACCCGCGCTTCGGTTGGATGTCCTACCTACGAAAACACGAGGTAACGATCCCTTAGCGATATCGCGACACTCCAGGAGATCAAATGATTGTGCAATTGAACAGAATGCCGTCGCGATCTCAACCAAACATCTCGAAGTAAAGAGAAAACTCTATCGATGAGAGAAATCTCAGTATCTCGTATTGTTTCGGGTAACATAGACGCACTTCTGCCACCGTCTATGTTAGAACTTACGAATCGAAATTCAATAGGAAGATATGAAACCTTGAAAAGCCCTTTCACAAGATCAGAAATCGCGACTCGTTTTTTATATGTGCTAAGTGATAGGCTCACGTAGGTCGAGTCGCGGAATCGGCTTTTCGAACTGGTCCGTTTTTCTCTTCGAGTCGATGGACAACGCGACTGAGCTTTCATTGTTCTGAAGGAACAGAAATATTTAACTGGGCTAGACGAAGCGCACAATGCTGACGGACAGACGAAGACAAGACAGTGTAAGATGTGCAGATAGTCGAGGTCGTTCGATGACATCCGTCGCACATTGCATACCGGCATACGTTCATCACTTACGCAGTGCCCCGAAACACGTTAAAACGCAATTATACGTGCGAGCTCATTTGTAAGAAGCATACTTTGAGCACAACAGTCGAGCTAAAAGAAAATCGTAAATCGAACAATCTTTTATCACTTACGTCCACCGATTTATTTTGGGACATTATTACGTACCACTGAGTTTAACGTGGTCTTATACTCAGTTATATACCTGCCATACAACGATGAAATATATCGTTATGTACACTTGACTATATTCTATTATTTTTGGTATAGCTTGGGATACATTTTAATTTTATATCTTGACTCTAACCTCGATGCTGCTGTTTCAACATATGGTCTTGACGTTTTATCTGTGGCGTATGTTCCGCGTTTCTTATGTTACCGTTGAGTATTCCGAAACGAGCTGAACATGATCAGACACACACTCATCGGCTGATCGAAAACGCAGTCGAGCCGTTATACGAGCTTAATGCAACCGGACTCATAACTATCTCCACAAATTATTTAGATTTTTCTTTTGAACCTCCATAATCTATATCTCGCTACATAACCCGGTTGTATCACCGTGTATATACCTCGTTACATACCTGCTTGTATACTTGTATGTTTATAAGGCAATAACGGCCTCAACTTCTTATCTTTTCACATGTTTTCGGTTTGTATACATGGATGAGTGGAAAGCTCTGCAGAATATTTTTAATAACTCCACCTTCCGCTTAACATTGTTTAACGTTCAGCGTTTCGGAATCGGTAATTCAGCAGCAGGTACACGAGTCATCTGACTAAGGATACAGCAGCATTGCGAGGACTTAAACTTGGCATGTGTATCTCCTGCGACCAAAAAGACCAAGACGATGGCAATGACCTTGGAATATAATCACGTTGCATGAACATAATCTGTATATATATATTGGTGTACCTCAGTCTTCGTATGAGAGAATATATGCGACATTATGCTCATTATCAACATTTAGGGGTCAATCAAATACTTCAACAAGCAACAATTCAAACCCCGATCTATGCAACGATGTGTTTTAGCACAGAGGATAACGAGGACAGATTAGGGCTGTCTGAGAACGCTGGTGCGATTCGCCTCGAAATAACGTTTTCGAACTTGATGTATCGAGCAGAGGAAATAACCCTGCGCTTCCGTCTGCAAACCAGTACGCGGACAACACCACGATGTTAGATGGCATTACGACAATTGTCATTGGCGACAAGTTCGTTAGATCTCCAAAAATGCTAAATTTCTGAGGTGTATCGATCACACCGATATCATCTATCGCGCGTTGATTTTGGATACGTGTGTAACATAGCGACTTGGAACATTGCTTACCACGCACAATATTTTCCATCAGGTACTATGTTTAAGGATTGATCACTGGCTCCTGTTTCTGAAGTCGAATTGTGGATGATTACATCGCGACTTTGTAGCACTATGCTTCTGTTGCTACAGCGATTTCAGGATACCAGACATGACAATTGCACAGATATCGGAAGACATCAGCGTCATTAGGACACAGTACTTATAGCATAGGCACCGCAATGGTCCCGAACTGATTAGACGATATCTCTGATAAGGATCACCGTCAACAGAATGCCATGCTTGGATTAAAATGTCTATGCTGTTGACATAATGCAGTCCTCGCGTTTATAACAAACTGATATCACTGGTGCGATGGCAGACATAGTATATATATGGGTAGGGCATTTGGCGGTCTACTTCATCATATGGTAGCTATATTGTTATTAGTTATGTACATGGTCCCATTAGGTGAGTTGTATCCTAGCATATAGGTGTCAGTGTCACAGCTTCATGTCTTGAATCCTTTTTTGCTTCGGCCTGTTATAGTGCAATCATTCCATGTATCAGCGAATTTATACCGACTCGGAGTATATCTCTCAATTGTATCTCGCAGTGTATCAATCGTAGCTTGAACCTTTTAATTCTCATTTGACAATGTACGCGTTATGTACACACATTTAATAATGTTGCCGAAGTCGCCTGTCATTTCAGAACTTCGACAAAGATTACACAGAAAAGCCCTCGGCGATCAACTGTTTCGTTCTATCTTTACTCCGTCCTCACTTTACTTATTTGTCTTGGCCGTTTACACCACCGGCGACCATATTTGTTGCGGAACTATTTCATCCATTACAGCGAACTAGTCAATCATGTGAGGACATCAGGCTCGGTGCCAGTTCTTATGGCTCCTTACCGTCGACGTTGGTTGTAATCGCCGAGGCTTGGAATCTTGCGAACGTCTGTCACGACGTTGTATCAAATTATCGCGGGCTCTTTTCCGCGAACGGTAGACTCCAGACTCGAGGAGTACGGGCCTGTTGCAGAGATAAAACCGTGACGGGTTACAGGCTATCATATGGAATGATCTGAAATGAAAGAAATCGATTAACATCGATTCGGGAGAACAGACGTAGGGGTCTACATACGTCGCATACGTGAATCTTCGGAAGCTATGACGAGAGCATGAAATCCGAGTATCCCGTTCAAGTTATTAACAAGAATGTGCAAGCGAAGAAGGTCGTGCAGTACGTAAGCGTAGAGTCCAGCGAACGTAATGTGTCACGATTGGAAACTAGCCCCGAAATTCCGACGGAATTTGGAAATCACGCTTGACAGCTTTGTCTCTTGTCCGAAGACTGTTTCCGATACTTTTCGAAATTGTTGTTACTCGTACTCGATAACGTAGGAACGATGAGGCGAGAACCTGATACACTAGACGCGAAATGACTAATCGAACAGGAAGTAGATAGGATAAGACACGTTCCAATGGAAGACAACTTCAATGAAAGGCAGGCTAGATGAAATAAAATGTGAAGTCTTTCTTGCATAGAACGCGGAATTAAACGGACAAGGAACCGCTGATCGTATTGCGGTAATTGTGGCGACGTTATCATTTTCCCCTTGACCGCCGCAATTTTCGAGAAAGGCAGAATGGATTTTTCGTTGAAAACTGCTCGAAATATGCAGTTCGCGTTCTGGCAGGAAAAGATGCAGGACAAAGTGGTCGTTTGGTGAGGGTGAACAACTTGGTAAAAGCACTGGTTTGTTCGAAAAAGAGTGTGTCTCGAGATGATATTAATGGACGTCGAAGTCGAACTGACGCGTGAAATGTAAAACGAGGAAGCAGCATAGTCGACCGCTGCATTACACGGCCAGAATTCCACTTGAACTGTCGTTCAGCGAATAATGAGTACTAAACGGCGTTTTAATAAGTCTTGCCTTCCCTGATACGCCCAACGTCACTGCGCCGTAGCTTGTGCATATCTCTCGTTGGGCCATAGCTTGCGCGGATATCTTTCGTTTCATCATGACCAGAAAAATGACCTGGAACGTTCTAACTATTTGATTCATTGGCACTTTTGGCACCTAAATAAAATAAGCTTGACCGTACCGTGGCAAAATTCTTCGGAAAGTGAGAGGTTGGCCGGTGAAGCTGGTGTTAATTACAGAAATGTTCTGACCATTCGACAAATGAGATTTTAAGTGACTGTTCAGCACAATCGTTACGAACGTTCAGATATCCTGGCGGAATATCTCGAAAGCCTTATCATTGCATGACTTCGATGATAATCGCGGATCGACGTGATATGGATAAGTTGGCGGCATGTTCTCGTCGAAATATGAGTGTTGGGTAGATTAATCGGGATCGTATGTTTTGCATTGTCGCTCAAAATGTGGTCAATAGGGGGCATTAATGTATCAACGATTCTCTGATTCGGTTCGTTTTATCGAGTCTAGTACAGCGTAGGTCATAGTCCACCGTTCAGTGAAAAGTAGCGAATACAGACGCGAAAACGTTCGCGTACCTGAACATTTTTCCTGCTGCTCGAAAATAATTAATTCGCCGCCAGATAGTACGTGGAAATGAGCGGTTACGCATAAGGGGGAGGCGCGACAGACAAACTCCGTGTCTCATTTCATTATTACCGAACAATCGGTAATTCTATAAACGAGCCGCGGAGCGTGGACAAATGTGCTTCCCCTTCTCAACACGTTCATTTCTATGCGCGATCTGACGTCGCGAGGGATTGGACAGGCTGTTACACTTGGATCTTCTACGCCCGAATGAATTCCGGCGTACCTTTTATAAAGGACAGTGGAAGAAGAATTGAGTATTATAGATCATAATAAAAGAAATAAAATAGAGATAAAGCGAGTGTCTCGGTACTGGATGACCGCCGATGAACATGTTTCGTTCGACGTCTGATTTTTACCGATCAGCAGAATTCAGACACTATCATTGGTTCGATCTTCGGGCAAACGATGCAACGATATATCCGGCTTTGACAACGCGAAACGTCACGAAAGCGCTCCGAGTGTTACTTCGTTCCGACATCTATTAGCTGCCCACAATGATGACTAAAATATAATACGATCGAAAACCTAGACAATCGGGCGTTTCGCGCGATCTATTCGAGGGATTTTGGACCACCTATGAGCGTCCTTAGAGCAGAAGCACACCAAACCGGAAATTTCCACGATTTTCGAACGCTGAGAACGCGGTTCCAGTGCTCGCTCAATCACGAAGAAGATTTGGTACCGAACATCGAGAAATACTTGCTTGTTTAATTAATCACTTCTTGCCGCGATCTGACACGTGAAAGAAATGCTCCCCTCATCGGTCGCAGACCTTAGAACGGTTTTGAAATTCGTTCTTTGCCGCGACCTGGTATTCGAAATATCCAATCTACCTTGGAACGCGTGAGAGATTCGGTAGATGCTCGATTGCTTAATTATTCAACTTTTTTTAGTCATATCGCGTGTAAAATACATGTTCTGTCGGTTACGAACAGTTTTCTCTTGTTCCTTGCCAGGTCGATCGTTATCCCGTCGCCGTTCTTAAACATACCGGTTTCCTCAATGACGATTTCAAACGACGAAAGTTACGCTCTTCGCTCCGTTTGTTCATGTAAATAACGGCGCTCTATTCTCCGGTCACCAATATCTGAACATTCAAGCAGATGTTAACACGATACAAGCGTAAAAAGGTTGTTTCTTTTGGAGATAGAGAGCCATTAGACCAGAATCGTCGTATGAAAATTGGAATGCGTAAAAAATATGACACGGCGATGGGTTTTATACGCCGTCTCGTTGTACTACCAGTAATCAGGACCGCCGAAAACCGTCACTGTTACCGATACTCTTATTTTTATCCAACTACTGACTGATCGAATGGTATGTTTTCTATTGAAACAACGTAGCTATAGCGTTCACGTTCTCCTATCATGGTGCAGGTATCTAAGAACATGGTATACAGACGCGGAAACGATTCGATAATGAAGACAATCCATTAGCGAAAATGCTCCTGTCGCGATCGACAAACCAAAGAGGTGATCTTCTAAAACCGAACGATAACAATTACGCGTTTTTACCCGTAACATGATGGGCAATCTTTATCAATGGCTCATTCCGCATTCGCGAGTTGAACTTATGACCCTGTGATGAGAAGCGAAATGTTTGTACAATAGTTATTGACCGTGCCAAATTTTATGAAAAATCGCACGAGAGTCAGTTGAGAGTACTTTACGATGAACAATGGCGAAGAAAAACGTGATGAAAATGTGATTAAATTAACGATATTACTTGCATGTAAAATTATGATTTTAGCCTGTTTACCACTAAGCGATTCCGATTTATCTAATATAAAACTGCGCCAACATGAAAATGATAAGCTCGTTGCAGAGAGTCAATGTTGCCTAAAGGCGATCTAAGCCGCATTCTAGATGGATGACGTGTATTATTATGTCGACTAAGCATTACCAACCAACGTAATTTACTTTCTAGACCTGCTCGATTTTAACGAGTTAAACGCAAGGTCACATTTCTCGGACAGTTCCCCACAAAATCGAAGTGATCCTATAATGGAGATGGAAACGACAAATTATTATTTACCATCGTTGATTGTACTTCATGCTTCCACCGTTACAAATGTTCTAATAATGTTTCGTTTCATTCCATCTGCATCGATAACAATTACTTTTAAACGTTGACGAAACAAATTAGTGTTCCATCAAATATGGAGGGCGCGGCACTAAACATGTTATTGACTGATCAAATGGACATGTAATCAAAGATTATGCACAGCTGACGCCTGTATCGCAGTAGAGTCCCGTTTCTTTAACATTTACCACCTGGTTCGCCTGTAAAGTAAATCTGCTGGAACAATCCAATCCACAAGCCAAAAAACTAACCTTATCATTCATATGCTATCGATGACCGTGCTCTTAAGTCAAATTCCATGATAACAAAACGGCGACTAGATTGATTTGTTCGTTGCAACTGATGTTCATTGTGCCGAGAATGTCGCCGCAACTCCGACAGACAGACTCCGCATTAAACGGGATTCTACTGCGTTTTAAAAATCCTTTCGACTACTTTACTGGTACTCTTTTTCGAAATTTTTCTCTTAATCTGTGCGAGGCTTTCATTGAAAACATTGCCATTATCGCAATTCCCCCTTTTGTGAAAGTCCAGGGGAAAATTTCAGAGAATTAAAAACCTTACGTTAGGAGACCTAATTTCTGCGGTCCACTTTTATCTTATTACTAGAGGAATAGATATGGTAAACGAGCTCAAGAAGCATTACCTATTAGCTTCTTGTTGCTAATTCGAGAGACCATCAATATTGTTATCACGATTATTGTTACTACCGTTATAACTTTTATTGTAATCATCAGAAATACTGTTTCATTTGTCATTGATATAATTCATATTTATTAGTATTAGTATCAGTTACACCGTTAGTATTAAGAGTATGTATGTATCAATACGTATGTATGTATAAACGATTCGATTTCGTTTCGGAAACAACCAAAGCAAGATAGACGCGATAATGAAACTGGCATAAGAAGATATATATAGCCCTATTGCAGGGCTATAGCGTGAGCTAAAAGACCAGGAATACGTGAACAGCTTTCGGCGCGAACTTGTCGAGAGTGGTATCGAAAATAATGTCAATCTAATTATGCAAGCACGAAGGCCTGAAGATACATAAATTCGAGGCGGGCACCAGCAACGATTACGGTGAGTACGAACGGCGCGCCCGCGTGTGTTTCGAAAGGAATTATCCAGGCTGAAAAAGGAAATATGTTACAGAAAGAGAAGCGAAAACGAACGAGCTCATATCACCGGTGAAATATCGACGATGTAAAGATAGCGGTCTGTTCAATTGCAACGAAACTGAAGCGAAAAGCAGGCTAATGCAAAACTAACAAAGACAGAAAAGTTGAGATGCACTGCGACGTCGGTTTCAACTAAATAACTCTGCCGAAAGGTAAATATTTTCATCAAATTTATAGTTCTTTAACTCGAATTGTTCATCATTTTAATTGATAATTAATCATTAATGATTTAATTGATAATTGATAATTTCAAGTTCAAGTTCAATTTTAAGTTCAATTTCAAGTTCAATTTCAATTTCAAGTTCAAGTCCAAGTTCGATTTCACAAGTTCAAGTTCGATTTCAATTTCAATTTCGATTTCGATTTTAATTTCGATTTCGATTTCGATTTCAATTTCGATTTCAATTTCGATTTCAATTTCGATTTCAATTTCAATTTCGATTTCGACTTCGACTTCAATTTCAATTTCGATTTCGATTTCGACTTCGATGTCAATTTCGATATCAATTTCGATTTCAATTTCGATTTCGATTTCGACTTCGACTTCGACTTCAATTTCGATTTCAATTTCGATTTCAATTTCGATTTCAATTTCAATTTCGATTTTAATTTCGATATCAATTTCGATTTCAATTTCGATTTCGATTTCGACTTCGACTTCGACTTCAATTTCGATTTCAATTTCGATTTCAATTTCAATTTCGATTTCAATTTCGATTTCAATTTCGATTTCGATTTCAATTTCGATTTCAATTTCGATTTCGATTTCAATTTCGATTTCAATTTCGATTTCAATTTCGATTTCGATTTCAATTTCGATTTCAATTTCGATTTCAATTTCGATTTCAATTTCGATTTCGATTTCGATTTCAATTTCGATTTCAATTTCGATTTCAATTTCGATTTCAATTTCAATTTCGATTTCAATTTCGATTTCAATTTCGATTTCGATTTCAATTTCGATTTCAGTTTCGATTTCAATTTCGATTTCAATTTCGATTTCGATTTCGATTTCAATTTCGATTTCAATTTCGATTTCAATTTCGATTTCAATTTCAATTTCGATTTCAATTTCGATTTCAATTTCGATTTCGATTTCAATTTCGATTTCAATTTCAATTTCGATTTCAATTTCGATTTCAATTTCAATTTCAATTTCAATTTCAATTTCGATTTTAATTTCGATATCAATTTCGATTTCAATTTCGATTTCGATTTCGACTTCGATTTCGACTTCGACTTCGACTTCAACTTCGATTTCAACTTCGATGTCAATTTCGATGTCAACTTCGATTTCAATTTCAACTTCAACTTCAACTTCGATTTCAATTTCAACTTCAACTTCAACTTCAATTTCAATTTCAATTAATAAACAATTATTTTTGTTTTTCGCACGGAGATCCCTGAGGATAGGCCAACCAGGAGGAAAATCATACTGGCAAGCGCACGCAACAGGAAGATTTCTATGATAACGTGGTCACAAAGCCCGCTTTCCGACTCACGCACTGGACGCGGAACGCACCGCTAGTTGAAACGGAAGAACATTTACAAAGGGTTAAGTAATACAATGTCGCAATGAACAAGGCAAAGAAGAAGCGACGTCACTCGATCACGAAAAATAAAAATCTTGTCTGCACGAAAAATGAAAACATCGATCGGAAGTTGCTAGGACTGTTCGGTAAAGAACGTTTCTTTCGTCCCCGTACTTATGATACAGATCGCGTAAATTGACAGCAAACATTGACTAGTAAGACGTGTTGGCTTCTGTCAAGTCTAGAATGTTCTCGTGGGAACTGAGCGAATATATCATCTTTGATGTTGCGCACGACTCGTATTTGCAGCGATTAGGTAGCCGGCACAGACTCTTGGAAGCCCAGAATAAAGGACATGCTAATACGACTGATGCAAGAACTCCGACGTTAAAAGTTCTACTTGAATTTTGAAAACGCATCACCAAATCGCACAAATTACGAACGTCGAGACCTTCGAAAAATCTATTCACCATCGAAAAAATGCTAGCGCAAAATGCTACTTTCTTTTAATGTTTGTTCCAATTGTAACCTCTTCGCTTTCGCGATACGTAACGCTTTGAAATTTCATTCTGCAACGTATAATTTTGGAAGCAATGATATCTCATCAAACAACGACAACTCTAGAAAAAGTTATCGGCGTATTCGATACGTAAAAATTTCGTCCGCCGATTTTCGTACCCCACGCCACAATGTCGTCTGTCTGTTGGGAGCTACAACGATATATCTTACCTTGCACAGAAGTTAACTTAAAGGAAAGATCGGATGATTTTATCACCGTCACATTTGGATTTATTTCCCAAACTGAACGGAATCATGACCGTAGTTGCGAATTCAACGAGCCCAGAGTTTTGGAACAACGATCATCTTTAATGAGTTCGCACTATGAATTTGTAAACCTAGACGGTTCTTTCGGCTGCAATTTTTATCGCGGAAATTTGCCCGAACTAGATGTCCTAAATCATTCGACTAACCGAACAACGCAACGATAAATAAACACTTTTCGTGACAGACAATCGACGCGCAGCTTTATTCAAACAGCTGCAGCGTTGTCTAAGTTGGAGAAATAAGAGAATTCATACTACGATTGCGGGTGCTGCGGAAAAGAATTTTTCGTGATACTGTTTTTTCGACGGAAAGGAAGATGATGGTGCGAAACGCATAGATACACGCATAGATGAAAATTACGCGACCACAAACAGAAAAGACAAAATTCTGTTAGAAAATTACGCGAACCATTCACAGGATAGGATGTCGGGAAACGATTTCGATCCGATGTAAAGTCGCGATCGATATAACTTCTCCGTGGCTCCATGTTCTTCAGATATTTTGTGTACCATAGACCTAATTCTTCGCTACATCGTCGGATAGGTCGCATAATCCATCGTAATCAAAATCAACAAATGCAGCATGCATATCAATAGTGCTTCTCTTCTATGTGCTTGCCCGCTATCATAATTTCAAATGAAAGTTAAGGGCTATCTCAATCATCCTGAACATTTATTAGTAACTACTTAGTAACAAAATCACAAAACAAGCACAAGATCACCGGTTCTTATATCTTCTTTTGCAATTGCTGATCCAACGAAAATACCTCTACGAGATATTGTTTCATAAAATGTATCGGGTCAAGCATACGTTGTAAAAGTAATCGTGCGTGTCTCGACACGGCACGAGGATGGTTCTCGGATAATCTTTTTGATAAATCGTTTCGTTGGAGCACGCATCGTAGTCAGAGAAAACTGATAAATAAACCGATTATCGTTATTGTTTTCATATGTCGTGCAATAGCGGCGCTAGGTAATATTTACGTTAAGACTGATTCGGTTGAACGAGCTTGCCATTGGTGCGTTTGCCGTGATATGATTGATTGACGCGTGCAAAGACCTGGTTTCAGAAAATTTCGAGTACAACCAATGCTCGGTGTAACTGGTACCGCGTAGAGCCGCGGTCTAAGCGTCACACTGCAAGCGACAGCGTATAGGCGAACCATAAATAAGAAAAGGAAACCTGGATGGTACCGATCACCGATCACGAAGGATCGAGTTATCGGATTAAAATGAACATCAAACATATATCGCGTTATGTCCGATACGATTTGTTTTCACTCCGGCCGACAGTTTTCGAAGGACTTTTCCTTTTCTCTGAAGTAATTCATCCTCTGCAAAAAGATACAAAGATACGAAAGAAACACTCGTGTTAGAGAAGCCCAACACTGGGACGTTACTATGTTCCTACATATATTTGATGCTGATCTTACACGGACGTTTCGAAACTTCAAACATGCACGGTACTGCGGAATCAAACTAATCGATCGACAAAATAGTAGAGAAGGGTTCATAACCGTTTATCGTGCTACGAGCGTCACATTGTTGCATACCTGGCGCAACAGGAAACTGCATGACCACCATTCACTGTCTAACGTATAACAGCAGGTTGATCTTCAAATGTGATCGTTTGTGGTCTCGCTTTGGTAACAATGAGTTGCCATGTTGACAACGCGAAACGTGACGAAAGCGACCGACGTCGTACTGTTTTCTGTCCGTCAATTCGTCGCGCCGTGACGCACACAGTATCATTCGTTCGCGACATGCACGATACGATCGAGTAACTCAAAAATCGGACATTCCGGGCGAACTATATAACCCGGGTTCAGACGATCTGAGACTGTCTCTCCCCGCGCGCGTGGAATGCATTATACGATACATCGAAAGAAAATGAGAAATCCGTTACAGTACACGATTCCGTTATATTCTCGATTATTTTTAAAACCAAACACGAGCGTCTCTCTCTCGATATCCTGTGCCATTGTAATGTCTATAAAATATTCGTCGAACCAATCATGCAAGCGCGAAGCTGAAATCTTACACGATGATTCAGGCTCAGAGAAAAATATTTTTCCAAAAGACGCAGCGATTTTCTGATTCATCTGTTAATCAAACGGTAGTCCATCACAGTTTTTTTAACAAGCCGTGCTCGCGGCAAAAATTTTTGTTAACAATAATGCTACCACGTATGAGCACGGATCTCTCCTGTTTGAAGTCAGTAGAACATTTGCTATTTCTAGCCGGCACAATATTGAAACGTTTAACGGGTAGACAATGACGAACGAGTTTGTTGCTTTTCTACCAAAAAATTAACGGGTTCGAAAAAAGTCACTGTAGTCGCGAAAAAAATGATACGATGGCGAGCTAAACGCCGTCTTATAATTTCCGCGATAACAGACATAGACATCGTCGTTCTCGCAAATGTTGCTCGTTAACCCTAGATTTCCTCCTCCGAGTCTTTTGTGACCCCACGTGTGTTTAAATGGCTATCTTGTCTGTCAATTATCGACTACTAAATATAATAAACGGCTGTATTTACAATGATTTTCCGTGCGTCAAACTTTCGACAGTTGTTCTGCATATACTTTCGATTACGCGAAACTCGCTAGACAACTCGCTCTTCCACGCGATTAGTTCTTTAACTGTACGTGGAATCACGAGGCTCGGATGATACTAGGACTACTGCCGGATAACTGCTACTGCAAAACGAAACTTACGTGCTGCACCAACAGCGTTTTCGACAGCGGCCCTACGTACGATGTTGGTCGCAGGACTCTGCGTACAATTAAACTTGGCATGGGAATAGAAAACAGCTATGTCTCTAATTGAGTCTATGTGAAATTGTTTCGAAAATATATCTAGAGAAACTGTCGATTACTGCTGGGATTTCTACAAACACCGGCAATCTTATAGCTGCGAAAATGATAGTTTGAGTATCTCTGACGTTAAAAATCGACCCGAACACTGTCGTTGGCTGATTTTAATAATTTCGAGACGTTTGACTTTCGTTCATAAACACCACGGGGGTCCCATTACCAATCTTTGTTTTCAGACTCTAGACGGCGCTAATTACCCGCCACGTGTAAGAAATTTGCAACGTTTATATGCTATATATATATATCTGCTTATTTCTCCCATATTCATACAGCACACTTCGTTTCTTTCACTTTGCACTCATATACACTGTACCGAGAAATACGATACATACGTACTCGAGAAGATCTGCGGGTAGGTTCTTGCGCATGGACAGACGTGTTACGTGTGGTATAACAGAATACATATGTTTGTAGTTATGATGGAAAATTGTGATGGTGCGCTTGGGTATGGTCGCAAAATGTTACGAACGGGCATTTCTGATAGAAACAATGCCCTAAATTGTCTCTGATCGGTGCATAGTTTTTCAAACAATAATGACCGGAATGAAACGAGCGTTCGAATTTCCAGCTCGTTTCATAGTTAATCAATAACTATGAAACAAAGCCGGAAGGCTGGAATGATTGGACTTTCCCTTCCCAAGCTATCTATCTTCACACGAAACAGTCGAAATATGACGTGCGATCCGAAAGAACCTACCAGAGTCAATGGCATTGTCGCGATACGTTACCACTGGCGAACAGGTTTTCATGTGAAATTAAAATGATCCGTGTTCGTCACTACTTTGCTTATCCTACTCAAGGGTACTACAATATAGGAATAATATAACGTCACATGTACTCAAACAGTCTGCCTCGACGGCATCTTGATTTTCGTCTCTGTCGCGATCACGATGTTGAATTCTTACTTCAATTTACCAACTTCATCAGAGAGAACCTATATAACGCGCTACCTTCGTATTCCCGGGATCTCGGTGTAATTCTGACGAAATGTAACTTGAAAATGTAACGTGACTTATTCACTGTTTCTCGAACAATGACAAGCTTGGATTCATTAAAACTTCCTATAGTTTTTGTTGTAACATTCGCTTGAGCAGGAAAACATTTGTAGAACTTTCTGACGACAGTATTGTTATAGAGCCAGAAATTGTTCAAGAAATAATCGAAGACCGATCATGTCGATTGATTCGGGAGTTCCAGTGCGAAATGAGAGTGAGAAGAATGAACTGTGTGTGTAATGCATCCTCCGAGCCAGAAAGTGGATTGGTACCATTTCCTTACGTACGATGTGAGTAAGGAAAAGGAATACAATTAATGCTTTGTTGCCTTACATTTAATAACCAGAACCGTCGTACTCTAGCCATACTGGTGCTAAAACTGCATTTATATAATCCTATGGATATATAAATATCCATAAGATTATATATTTATATATAACATTGGTATATATTATTCATAATATTCTTCCTGTTCTTCAAATCCTGCGATTTAGGTTGCAGTATATATTTCAATAAAGAAGCGTGCGTGTGAGACACTTTCATTGAGATGTATTCAGGATATCGGGAACCGTGATAATGAAAGATTTCATTCAATCGTTCTGGCCGGCTCGATTGCTCTCCTGGTGTATTTTAAAGGCTCGCTGTCCCAGCCGGTTACGAATTGGGTAAAACGAAAATTATTGGTTTGGTGTCAAGCGGTCTATCCTACAAAACACGACTATACTTCCATGACAATGTTACGATGCGATTTTGATGGGAGTATTGATTTGTGGACTGTTGCGAACGTCCACAAAGTCGTAACATGGGACGGTGGGCCTGTAATGCTTTTATGTGCATGCACGACATTATCACGGGATTGAGAGTGATCGAACCGCTAAGAGGCATAGGAGACATGCGGTGACGAAAGAACGATAAAAAATTATTCGGGTTAACTCCTCCACGAGTGGAGCGACAGAGTGCAGTGGTCTATGTAAAGATAGAAAATATTTAGTTTCCTCAAGACATCCTGTTATTCTATGAAATTGTAAGTCAAGTCACCTTGAACGTGTACGCCACGTTTCTTTTATCAATCTGTTCTGATGATGCCAATTCATTTATATCCAGGCACGAGCATGTAGTACGTGATTGTATTGTGTGAAAATACAATATACGTACAGATTATATATATATATAATCTATACGCGTGTGTATTTATTATATTTATAGATTTATATTTGTACGAAAAGGCGATTTTCCCCGAAAGCAAAGAATAAAGACAATTCCAAGAAATCGGACGGACTAATAACATTCTTTTTTGCGAGCTGTTCAGAAAAATTCTCAGCTTGTAAACAAAAACGGACGATCCCGAAGGAGACCAGCATAGACTGTAGACGAAGCAGGCGGCTCGTTTCTTGTAGCTGTTGACCGATAGCGTTCCCAATCATAAAAACGAGCCGAGAGACTCGGAAATGTTCCGAAACGATCCGTTTTCGTTTACAGGCTGTGATAAAAGATAAAAGAATTTGTCCTATTGTCCTCACTGTTGGCTAACGGCGATTGAAGCGGAGGTTCCTTCGAAAACGATGTTTCGAAATTGGTTTGTATGTTTCAACGGCGACCCACCGAAACGGTGTCTCTTCCTCTGTCAAAAAACGGAAAACTATCGGCCGATCTAATGCCGATCTTCTTTTCAATTTTTAAGGAAAAATCCGATAGGTCGGTTCGGTGTGAGCGCGCGGGTCGTCCCGCGTATATTTAGCGGTTAAACGAATTATTGTCACGCGATCGACGCGCGTGCGATCGTCGTTCCGAGACCGTCGCGTCGACGTTTCCACGGACGGCGGGCCGCGGCGATCGTCGAATTTGATTATTTCGTCCGCGAAACGACGCGGCCGAAGTGCCCCCGAGAACGCTGGGAATCGAATTTAAACCGCTGAGAGAAGTTGAGAATCAGCGGCAGAGAAGGCCGGCCGGCCCGGCGCCTGTTCCCGGAAATGCTCCGAACTGAAAATTCACTAACGAGTCCATTCATCCGAACGAATCTAATTAGCCGAACGACTGTTCTACCAAGGAATCGTTATCGATTGCACGGCGGAAGTGCTTCGCGCCTACGCCCCGCGCCCTTGTTACACATTGAACCCGTACGTGTAACACGGTGGAACTGTATTATTAACCCCTTGCCGTACGTGTCTAAGATTTCTAACGATAGAAGGATGATGATCATATAGAACAAAAAGATTTCTAACAATTTATCAGTACAATATGCTAGTCCGGTCTTTTAAATTCAAATGAAATTCTGTTCCTTTCTCCGCGATATTTAATAGCATTACTATAATAATAATTATAAATATCAGGATTTTCAAACTCATTTTTCCCGTAATATATCGAGCAAATTCGAACGATGCTAGAATTTATGGAAATACAGAACTGTATTATTAACCCCTTGCCGTACGAGTCTAAGATTTCTAACGACAGAGAGATGATGATAATATAGAACAAAAAGATTTCTAACAATTTATCAATACAATATGCTAATTCATTCTTTTAAATTCAAATAAAATTCTGTTCCTCTCTCCGCGATATTTAATAGTATTACTATAATAATAATTATAAATATCAGGATTTTCAAACTCATTTTTACCGTAATATATCGAGCAAGTTCGAATGATGATAGGATTTATAGAATTGATATTTCCTATGGAAATATAAAACTGTATTATCAATCCCTAGCCGTTCGACTCTAAGATTTCTAACGATAGAAAGATGATGATGATAATATAGAACAAAAAGATTTCTAACAATTTACCAATACAATATGCTAGTCCGGTCTTTTAAATTCAAATGAAATTCTGTTCCTTTCTCCGCGATATTTAATACTATTACTATAATAATAATTATAAATATCAGGTTTTTTAAACTCATTTTTACCGTAATATATCGAGCAAATTCGAATGATGCTAGGATTTATAGAATTGATATTTCCTATGGAAATGTAAAACTATATTATTAAGCCCTTGCCGTTCGACTCTAAGAATTCTAACGATAGGAAGATGATGATAATATAGAACAAAAAGATTTCTAACAATTTATCAATACAATATGCTAGTCCGGTCTTTTAAATTCAAATGAAATTCTGTTCCTTTCTCCGCGATATTTAATACTATTACTATAATAATAATTATAAATATCAGGTTTTTTAAACTCATTTTTACCGTAATATATCGAGCAAATTCGAATGATGCTAGGATTTATAGAATTGATATTTCCTATGGAAATATAAAACTATATTATCAATCCCTAGCCGTTCGACTCTAAGATTTCTAACGATAGAAAGATGATGATGATAATATAGAACAAAAAGATTTCTAACAATTTATCAATACAATATGCTAGTCCGGTCTTTTAAATTCAAATGAAATTCTGTTCCTTTCTCCGCGATATTTAATACTATTACTATAATAATAATTATAAATATCAGGTTTTTTAAACTCATTTTTACCGTAATATATCGAGCAAATTCGAATGATACTAGGATTTATAGAATTGATATTTCCTATGGAAATATAGAACTGTATTATCAATCCCTTGCCGTTCGACTCTAAGATTTCTAACGATAGAAAGATGATGATGATAATATAGAACAAAAAGATTTCTAACAATTTATCAATACAATATGCTAGTCCGGTCTTTTAAATTCAAATGAAATTCTGTTCCTTTCTCCGCGATATTTAATACTATTATTATAATAATTATAAATATCAGGTTTTTTCAAATTCATTTTTACCATAATATATCGAGCAAATTCGAATGATGCTAGGATTTATAGAATTGATATTTCCTATGGTTCATCAATTAAATGACTCTGATATCGCGTGAATTTTTCGAGTTGATATTCGACGGTTAACGTGTCGAGTATTCGAGGAAACATAGGCACGCGATAAACAAAAATGATCTTCTTCTTCCTCTAAGAAATGATTATAATCGAAAAACATCTGTACATCATAACCGTGAAAAAAAGTGGTACGACAAGGGGTTAACGCTGAACCTGCCGAGCTTGAAAAGCGACGAGCATGTCAAGAATTTACAAGAATTGACGAGTTCGAATTTAATCCGGAGAAAGTAACCTTCCGCCATTTTTATATTCCAGCGTATAGAATTCAAAAGTTTTTATCCAATCTCCACGAGAGAGATAGAGAAAATAATGAAAATTTCTTCGATAATTTGAAAATAAACGCGGATTTGTCCGTTTCAATTCGGCGACGAGATTCGTACAGGAATTTCGAAGCGTGTTTCTAACACGCATCTTCGAGTCTGTTGGGAGATCTATGCATGGAGGAAGCTCTGCCAGAGAAGCGATAATTTCCGAAGGAGTTGAAAAGTTGAAGATCAAGCCTGGGAAGGCTGCCGACCGGCCTTTCTCCGCGACGAATCGTAGCGCGTTAAACGGAGGGCCTGTTTCGACTCTCGTTGCTCGACCAGAAGCACCGTAAATGGCCGAATAACCTTGTCAGCCAATTTTTGGCCATTAAATGGGACACAAGTGTCTAGTTAAGGCGGACTAAAGCTCTCTACGTTGCACGATAAATTCGTATAAGCGGGCCCCGCCAGGCCCCTCGCCCTTCTCCGCGTCGTGCCCAACTGTACGCGGGGTCCCGCGGCTGGAGTCACACTCTAAGGCCGCTGCACACAGATAGCTACTCCGTAACAGTACGAAATTGATTCGTTTTGCGAGGAAAGTTATCCGAGAGAGTGGTCCCGGTACGACTCGAGCATCGAGTCTCTGCATACGGCTGGGTAAGGCGCGGGGAAGGGAAAGGGGCCCGGCGGATTCCGCGTACACGAAACATATAGAGCAATCTATCTATCGAGTTGTTTTACTCTCGGATGTACACCGCATTTAGCTGCGAGGAGGATCGACCCGGTCGGAGGGAACTATTCCCCGGGTTTCGTGTATCTCAGATATTGTCAATTCGTTCCGGTTTGTGCCCGAAAAATATCGATCGTCCGAGAGAGACGGTCCCGGACAAGGCCCTCTTCTCCCTCCTCAAGATCTTAGCGGAGGGGAGGGATTAAAGTTTTTTCGCGATTAGACTGCGGACTCGATGCATTTGCCAGTGAAATGGTAACACGAGGCACAAGATAGAAAGAACATTAACACGTTCGGTGCCTGCGTGACGCTAATTTTTCACTGGGTTTTTCACAAATTCATTTCTACTGTAATATATCGAACAAACTGAACGCTGCTAGGATTTGTAGAACGCAAAATAACGGATAAGCAATATTTCCTATGGTAAATTTTCACTTTCCAGTTTCGGTTTCATCGATATTAATATTATTATATTGATATTAATTAATTGTATATTAATATATTAATTAATATTAATGATATTATATTAATTTCGGTAATACGGTTAATGAAATCACTTTGATATCGCGTGAATTTTTCGAGTCGCCGCTCAACGAGAGTCAAAGGGCTATCGAAGAACGTAGAGCTTGCTATTTTTTCATATAATTGGAACAACTGTTGTTAATGCAAAAGACAGATTCCTATACGGTTCTTACTGTCTTGGAAACCGACGATGGAAATTTTTATTGCTCGCGAAGAGTCCGCAGTCTATTCGCGACCGGAGCAACTATGACTCAACGTTAGAGTCGCAGCACTCGGTTCTCGATATACGCGCGTAAGAGAGAATTGTTTATAGGAACTCTTACCACCTGCTCGAGACTCTTCCGACAACCGCGATCAGTGCCGCGATCTTCCTTGGACAGCATTCCGTATCGGATAATGGCGTTCGTGCGAACCGTCCAGCTTCCAGAAGCGAAATCGGAAACGCGTCATTTTTGGCAATGGTCGTTGTCGCTGCTACTGTGTTGGCTATTGCTGTCACGGTGTTCCGTCGTGTCCGTGTCGCTTCAATGATTCGTGATCTCCGTTACCCCTTTCCCATCTCGATTCTCGCACGTGTACGCACGATTTCCATTTTGGCCGTTTCGAGTGTGTGTGTGCATCGTTTTATACTTTAAGCTTATTTCTTCCTCTCTCTCTCTCTCTCTCTCTCTCTCTCTCTCTCTCACACACACACACTTTCGCTCTTTCTTTCTCGCTCTTGCTCTCTTCTAAACACACCCACTGGCATACATACGCAGACGCTCTCTCTCTCTCTCTCTCTCTCTTTCGCTTTCTCTCTTACACGATCAGGATTGTCCGTATGTTTTACATTCCGTACTAAAAGTGCAGATCTATATAAAAGATAACGTTGCTTCTTTTGCTTACAGCAACTTAAGGCGATATAATATATGAATACTCTTACAATATGTATCTATGTACGAACGCCGGTGGTCCTCTATTAAAAACGTTCCAAAAATGAATCCCTTCCCTGCTCATACCCCCCGCGTGCCGATCCCTACTTCATAAATACTTTTCTCTCTCTCCCTCTCTCTCTTTTTTTTTGTATTTTTGTTCCCCCTTCTTCGAAAACCGTTCTGCGTTTGTTCTCTCTAACTTCGTCTCTCCTCTCTCTAGCCTATCTCTTTCTCTCCTACTAATCTCTTTTTCTCTATTCTACCTCTCCAGACCCCCTCTCTCCCTTTCTGCCTCTACCGTTTACGTAAGGTACAATAATTCAACAACGAGCATCTGTAGCCAGTATATAACGAGTATTTCTTTTTTTTTATAAGATTCACAATGTACTATAATAAAGATATTTCACTTTCTCTCCCACACATTCTCTCTCTCTCTCTCTGTCTCTCCTTTTCATTCGTATTCTCCACAGCGAGCGAGCGATGAAAAACGTATATAGAAATAATTCCTGGAACGGAATAATCGACCTGTGACGACTAGCGAGCGATACGAATCACACGTGTATCATGGCAAAATTCGGTGGAAACAGAGGTCCACGGTGTTGTTATCGGGCGTTATATCGTCCGGCGAATTTAGAAGTAGAAACATGGCTTAGCAGTTCGAAGAACGCGCGATCGGATAGGACAGAATCCTCGGGAACAGCGGTTACCACGGTGGTAGGAAAGGGTGAAGAAGAAAAAGGCGTCGTCGAAGCTGAGACGACCCTTCTAGAGAAGTTATCGACCCAAAGAAGCCCCCCCGTTGCGCAGCCAGACGACGAGCCAAAGATTAAAGTAATTAACCCTCGTACCAAGATCGTACGAGAGCATTCGCGAGCTTGTTCGAAGTCAATAACAAGGATCGCGGATGCGTAAAACGCGTCGTTCGATGCCGGAATACCGTTCTTCCTTTTTTTATTTTTTTTTATTTTTTTTATTTTTTTTTTACATAGGGCTCGTAGGGCTCGGAAATCGCCTGCGAGAGTCGTCGTTCATCTGTAACCCACAGAAACACGATGATGTCTACTTTAAAGTGCCATGGAAGAGCCGAGGGCTGGAACTACCTCGAAGAAATTTCCCTTCGAGCGGAAAAAAAGAAGATTCTTTCTGGTGGGAAACCTCTGACGCGTATTATCTTTTGCGTGATTTTTGGATCCGAGATTTGGAGAACTTGCGGCGGTGAGAGCCGCGCGTATAAAAGAAACAAAAGACGGGAAGGAACATGGAGAGTCAGTGTCCTCCGAAGCTGCGCAATACGGTATTTATGGTTGCCGGGCATGCCCATTTAGAAGGAGGACCCTTCCCTCCGGAGAAAAGAAGGGCTATGGCTCAGTCAATGGGGTCCCTATATTGATTTATGGCAAAATTTCTCTCTCTCTCTCTCTCTCTCTCTCTCTCTCTCGAACATTCTCTCTCATTTTCTTTCTTCCTCTTGCTTTGAACAATGACGAAGAAGATTCACCTGACAGAGTAGACAAATAGACAACAATGCACAACGTGATACAATTGATTTATTGGTGTGTTAGACCATCTCTCTCTCTCTCTCTCTCTCTCTCTCTCTCTCTCTCTCTCTTGTTCTCTCTTTCATTCTCACGCGCTTGTTCTCTCTTTCGCTCTCCAATTTCTCTCTCTCTCTCTCTTTCTCTCTCGCATTCACCCTCACGGCGAGTCTGTGTAAACTTTTGTATGTGCTAAAAGAGGCAGGACGAGATGAAGAAGAAGGGGCGTGGTGTAAAGGGATCCCGGGGGAACATTTACATATATAGATAGTTGATACTATTATGTACAAAATAACTATGAGGCACGGTGACGTCACCGACCTTTTCCATAAGAATTATCGAGAAGAAACTTTACACACGCCTCCTCCGTAAACCGGACACTAAAGCCATCATAGGGAACACACACATGTACGTATATACTGTGCTACATGCATACATGCGTACCTCTACGAGCACGCATATATATATGTATGTAATACATATGTATCGTCGTTCGTTACACGTCAATATGACAATTATTTGACTGGAAAAGAAAGAGATTCTCTCGTGTAAAGTATTTTGCTACTATAGTGGATCGTAGTGTCGCGATGGTGATCGAGCGGACGCGCAAGCGCGCGCGCGCGCTCATGTCTCTCTGTGTGTTCTCTATGTATGCGTGTACGTGTTTGTGTGTATGTATGTGTGTGCGCGTATGCTCGGTACGTGTACGTGTATACGATCTTTGTATATGCAACAACCGAAAGGAAGTTTCGTTAATATATTAATATTTTTGTTTGCCTCTCTATCGTTCTCTCACCGCATTCACACACTTCTTTCTCTCCTCCACGAACTCTTATCTCTCCGTCCTACTATATTCTCTGTCTCTGTTCCGTCTTTCCTGTTGTTTTCCCCTTGCCCCAATTCGCACATTCCTATTCTGTTTCCGACGATCGCGGACTCAAAATAATAAAGCGCAAAATCCTCAAAACGTGCTATATCCTAACCTTTCCTGTTCTCTAATTCCTTTCAATTTCTCCCTTTCTGTCTGTATGTCTCTTTCTCCCTCTCTCTCTCTCTTTTTCTCTCTGTCCCTATCATCTCTCTTTTTCTGTCTTTCCGTGTTTGTCTCTTTCGCCGCGTCTCTGGTTATCCCGAAATCTCGAAATCCGTCACGCCTTCGCTTTCGGTTTCGGTTTCCCCATGCACGCACACGCAATCACACGCCCACCACTCACGCATCCATCATACCCGTATTCCTTTCTTTCCCCCCTCTCGCACAC